ACTCATGTCAATCTAGCTTTAAAAGCTTCATTTACAGAGTTCTAGCTTCAAAAGCTTCATTTACAAAAGCACTAGCTTCAAAAGCTTCATTTACAGAGTTTTAGCTTCAAAAGCTTCATTTACAAAAGCTCTAACTTCAAAAGCTTCATTTACAGAGCTCTAGCTCGAAAGCTTCATTTACAGAGCTCTGGCTTCAAAAGCTTCATTTACAAAAACTCCAACTTCGAAAGCTTCATTTACAGAGATCTAGCTTCAAAGCTTCACTTGCAAAGCTTCACCTACAAAGCTTCAGTGCAGGGTATACAAATACCGCATCCGAACAACTGCCACTTCGGCCCATACATGGATTCAATTTGAAGTCTCCAGCCAACAGACCCTATTAACTGAAGACTTAGGGGACTACATTATGTACCATATATTAGGTCTCAACTGGGCCTCATGAAAAATACTTGGGGGACTTAGCCCATTATTTATGTACTGAGGAGCGAGCCCTTATTCTATAAAAATGACTCTCTCAATTTTATTAGAGAGCACTCATTATTCATGTACTGAGGAGCGAGCCCTTATTTTATAAAAGGGACTCCCTCACTCTTATTAGAGAGTATAGCCGCCAGCTGAGCAACCGCATCGCCATGAGCATCACTCGTAACCCATCACTTATGTATTGATGACCCTTATTCTATAAAAGAGACTCCCTCACCATCATTAGAGAGCATCAACTCCTAACCCATCACTTATGTATTGAGAAGCGAGCCCTTATTTTATAAAAGAGACTCATTCACCATCATTAAAGTGCATCAACTCTAACTCATCACTTATGTATTGAGGAGCGAGCCCTTATTCTATAAAAGGGACTCACTCACCTTCATTGAGAGCATCAACTCTAACCCATCATTTATGTATTGAGGAGCGAGCCCTTATTTTATAAAAGGGACTCCCTCACCTTCAACGCTACAAGCCGAGCCAACCAAGGCAACATAAGTCATAAGCCGAGCAGCCTCGCAACATGTGCTACTTCTAGTTGAGCATCATTGCACATTGAGCATCGCCTCATATCGAGTATCAGTTCTAGACGACATCTAGTTACTTCGGCCTACACATGGACTGAATTTCAAGTCTCCAGCCAAAAGACTCTCTTGACTGAAGACTTGGGGGACTACTGTTTGTATCACACTTAGGGCATCCGTATTTAGACCTCGTATAAATACTCGAGGGACTCAAATGTAATTATGTAATAAATGGAATGGCAAATATGTAATAAGTGAGAATCCCTTATTCTATAAAAGGGTCTCCTCACCCTCACAATTGGAGGCCCTCTCACCCTCACAAAGCTCATCTCTCTCAAGCTCTCATGCTTACAAACAGAGAGCCCTTTCAAACTCTCTCTTTCTCTAGGGGACTCCCCCTCACCCTTGTAATCCATACATACAGTAAGAGAAATACAATCAGTGTGGACGTAGCCCAAACATTGGGGTGAATCACGATACATCTTTTGTTCTTTACATTCTTGCAGATTCACGGTCGAATTTACGTTGTTCCAAGACCCCTCCGGTTTTGTGCATCAACAGTGCATATACGTATATATAAGAGTGTGTGTGTGAGTACTCTGTTTGATGGGTTAGAGAAATACGAAAAAACTAAAACTTTTCAAAGGCACAGAAACAGAGAAAATAAATTGGGGGTAAAACTTGGAATCTTACTAGAGGGAACTTTGAAAGAGTCGAAAAAATGATTCCTGGTGATTTTCACATTGGTGAGTAGCATTAGGAGCACTTCTGTTCTGTTTAACAGATAGAATTTAAGGGGGTTGAGATACTTGTACAAATCTTATGAACAAAATTGTGATGTATCTAATAAACATTCATTAAATTATTAATGTAAGTAGTTAACTTGTAAATTTGTTGCATGTGATCATTTATATTTTTCAGCAAAAAAATAAAAAATATAAAAAAACCAATTAAACAATGCAAGTACAATATACAAGGACAACTATTAAATTTAGCTTCATCTATTTTATTAAGAGAAGACCCCTTGTCAAAAAAAATTCCCCGCTTTTTCCAATTTTGCCCTCATTTTTCAATACACAATATTGACATGAGGAGGGTAAAATAGTAATTTTGTATCTTTTGTAAAATGACAATCATATCCCTATTTTTCCTATTTTACCCTCACTTTTGATGCATAATATTTACATAAAGAGGGCAAAATGGTAATTATGTAATATTAAGAAAAATATGTCCTTATTAAGAGATCCCATCATTATTGTCTCATACTCTTTAAAAATTTTAAAAACTAATCACACTCCTTTATAAAAAACAAAAACAAAATAAAATTGTTCACACACAAAGTGTATGCTCATATTCTAGTTTAGATTATAGAAAGTCCATTTCAAACAACTAAAAGTTTAAAAGGGCATAAATAAAAATATTGAATAACCAACCTCTTTCGACCACAAAAGCAGATTTTAAAGTCTATCAACGATTCACCATCCATTCAAAACAGGATTGTCAGGAGACACATGATGTAAAGATGACAATATGCAAATCTTACTCCAAGCACATCTAAGTAAAAATGATAGGTTGCAGCATAAATTATGAAACCGAACTAAAATAACTCATACTATTTATGAAAATAAGTTTAATTATACACAAGGCCTTTTTGTTTCATAGAATTATACACGAGGCTTTTTTGTTACATAAAGCTTTATTGTTTCAAAATCCTATAATTTCCATTGAGTAAGGAGCTGATTAGGTGGGAAGAATGAGAGCGGTTATTTATTAATTAAGCTACGCAGTGCATGGATGTTTGGCAAGGAACACTTTCCAATAATTTGACAATAACTATTAAAGGAAAAGTCTAAGAATTTAGTTGCAGACATGAAACTAATAAAAAGAGCTTGAAAACACTGAGTTTTAACAATAAGAACAAAATAAAGAGTAAAATGAATTGTATCATGATTTATTTTTTAGTTTAAAAATGTGGTTTTTCATTAAAATGAACAGTACCGATAGCTTTTCGTGTAAGTTCCTAAAAAAAAATCATTATGCAGAAAATGCTTTAAAGCTATATAACTCCGTAATTTGTTACTCTAAGTCTTAGATAAGTACAAGTACTACGCATCTTTAAAAGTATCCGTTTCAAAAAAAAATCAATTCAGGGATCGGGGTAAAGTTATTCACTTCTGTTAAGTGTACTTTTGGTTTGATTGTGCCGTTGCCAAGTTTCTGTCATAGTTTTATGTATGGTCTAAAATATCCATAATATCTCGATATTTCTATCAAAATTTTCGTGTTTTTAGACTACCGATATTTCCGATATCATCGATATTTTAGATCTTGCTAAGTCACTCATGTATCTTACTATACAAAGTATAAAGTGTAAAATATTGTACTAATTCATTATATATAAATGATTTTGGTGTGTTTAAACTTCTTTCATTAATTACTACATATTTTCTACACTCACAATGTTTGCCAGCTCGCTATATAATCAACTTAAATAAGTTATATCTATCATGCAATGCATTTCCTTTCAATTTTTTTGTGATAAACTAATAGATAATTGACTAAATAAACATCCTGCAAAGTTTCAATAAAAATTTCCTAAGTTTTTCTTACAATTTTCATGGTTTTTATTCAATTTTTATCAATATCGATAATATCCCGATATTTCCACCGAAATTTCCGTGTTTTTGGACTACCGATATTTCTGATATTATCGATATTTTATACCTTTTATGTATAATTCTATGTAACGGTTCGGTTCATCAACTACTGATCACCGTCTAAAGCTATATGCATACTAGCTAGTATATATTCATATTTCTTATTAAATGTGTGTGCATATATATATATGGATTCATTAAAATGAAATCTCAAAATTCTTTAAAATTCTCTTCTGTTGACTTTCAATGCCATTTCCATGTTCATCATCTTCTCAGGACCTCTTACAGGTGCTCAAGATAAACCTACTTTTAAGTCCATGAAACGAACAATCACAAATTAGCCAAACCCATTGAAAAACTAGTCACAGTAATCCCCAATAAATCACATGTTACAAAACGAAAATTACATCAAATGAACAATCACAATGGAAGATGAAATCCTAATTCTGCAATTCCACCAAACATTGAAACCTTAAAATCCACAATTTTATACACACCAAACCCTAAAATAGAAGACCAAATCCTAATTCCGAAATTCCACAAAACACTAGAACCCTAAAACACAAATCAAACATCACATAAATTAGAGAATCCACAATTTTATACCTGCTTATACTTCTATCGCATTATGTCTGCCGTCTCGATGATGAACTCGGTGGAGAAGATGTTCGTAAGCTTGGTGCCGTAGCCTTTGCGTCCACTGGTGGTCTTCTTCATCGTATCATCATAGTTGCTACTGGTCATGAGGTGTCCGAATATCAACTCCGAGACGTAGACCCTCTCCTCCTGGTGAATCTCGACGGGAAACTCTAGCGTTATTGTTGTAACACTGAGGCAGTTCTGTTCGACGTCAATGGACGAAGACAATGAGGACATGAGTGAAAGTGTAGTACCTAATGATGATTGAGAGTGAGTGAGATGGCAGGGGTAGTCACTGTTGGGGTGATGGAGCAACGGAAGAGGAGACAGAGAGGGGAGATAAGGCTTAGCAGAGAGCTCTAGAAGGATATTAGACGGACAAAAGACGTGCCGTTAAGGGTAAAATCGAAAACTCATCATTTGGCTATTTTAATTGGACTGGTTTAAAGTTGGATTTTGTCTTGACTATTAAATGAAGTTATAACATGATTTTTTTATTAAAATGCAATATATTAAAGCTCTTTTTATTAGTTTTTTTTTTTTTAATGCTTGCCAATTAATGTAAGGGCAGATTTAGTTAAGCTTACGTAGCAAAACGAATCCATTAGACCAAACCGATTCGTAAACATAACACTTTCATGGAAACAGTCAAAAGCCCATTGGGCTTGCTACAAAGAAAACGTTCGGACTAAATTTGATGGAGTGCGCCGGATCCGAGCAATAGTGCAACGCTTGCGCGACGTGTGAGAACCTCAATAGTATATTGTAGTAGGCTCTCATTTTAAAGAAATTAATTTAACATCATGTGAATCATTGGTCAACGACTCTACGTATCATATATTAAACTGATAAGAATATCTTTAATGGAGATATCAAAAGATAAATGTCAAATGTTAATTTGATGGTTGACGTGACAATGTCAGATTTTCTATTTTTTAACCGATATGTTTTTTTGGTATAAATGATATTTGTAGGATACATTAAAATAAATTTTCAAGATCTTTAATTGGTGTATTAATGAGACCCACATAATAAAATAATTAAAAATTATTTGACATCACATTTTCTCATGTCAAATTTGACATATGAAAACTCATAACATATCAGTTGAAGTTTACTTCTATTTTCAAATTTGATTACATGACATTTCACTTAAGATCTGACATCTCCTTTGGAGATGGTCTAAAAACCTATTCTACACATTTTATTTTTCATAAACGATATTATCTACACTAAATTAGTGAGAAAATGGCTAAACCTTGCACTAAACTAACTATAATAATGTGGTTTAAAATGCCGAAAAAATGGGTTAAGCCTTACACTAGACTAACTATAATAGGTTTGAGTTTTATTTGATTGAGCCTTTATTTTTATATCAATTATGCAACTCACTATCATCTAGACCGGTCAATGTGGGATATAAAAAAATCCATTTTTCTTTGGTCGTAAACATTATCCTCGTCTTCGGATAAAGATTTTTGTAACCTCCAAACAGTAAATGACATTAAGAACAATACAATTTGAAAATTGACATTCCAATAAAATTGTGTGACAGGAAAGATTTATTGGTGTATTACTATTTACTTATGAGGCTCACTCCATAGTGTATTTTAACGATCTGAACCGTCTATTTTTTAGAACATCATTCATGGATCATCCTTACAAAAAAAAAATTAAACAAATCCAAAACTACTAAGACATAGAATATGGTTCTAAACCTTAATTCAATGGTCATATGATTTCGGATTTACATGATTTTTAGTAGACATGATCTTTGAGAAAAATCTTTAAAAAATAGACGGTTCAGATCATTGAAATAATTGCAGAGTAAAAACTATAAAAACTTGTATAAAAAATTGTAAAAAAAATGATGCCAGGATGTTATATCAATGCTCTGCGATATTGAGCTTTCGTTGATGGATGGACTGACCATTTATATATTCATTTATGCTTCTATTTTGTTTTACATGTACGGTGTTCTTATTTGCTAATAAATAGATAAGAACTTGGAATTTAAAGTTCAATGGAACTTTGAAGATATTTACTGTAACTATATTAGTTAGTAAACCTTAAAGTTTAGATGCATATATTTTTTTTTAAATCGTAATTGCCTTAACAAAGTTGTAAAATGCAAAAGAAAACAAGAACTTGGTTTAGGCTAAACCGTCCAGTCCAACCGTTAACAATAGTTAGGTTTACTTTGTTTTTGTGAGCGCGGTTTGTTAAACTGAACCGAAGATGCATGTTCTACCATAATCGATTCGATGAGGGTTTTGGGATACAAAATCATGCAATAAATCCAATCTAGATGGTGATCCACCCTAGCTGGTTGGCAAGCTCATAACACAAACAATCAAAGTCCCGTTTTAAGCCACAAACTACACATGTTGAAACAAATCTCTCTCCCATGTATTTGTTATGTTAAGGGTGGATACAGAGCCAGGTCTGAGAATTAGGGTCTTAGGCGAGGCTTTGAAGTAGGTAACCAAAAGTTTTCTAGCCCCCGCCTTTGAACATTGATATGTACAAAAAAAAAATTCGCTAAGTACATGAAAAAGTCTATTTCTACATCAAATATTATTAAAAGTTAACATCAAAAGAAAAAAGAGATATAAATATTACTTTAATATTACACGTCTCGCAATATACTGATTAAGTTTACATAATCTAATTTTTCTACAAATTCTTTTTTAATTGATAAAATAATTAACTCATTCAATCTTTATTGTGACATAGTTGATCGAAGATAAGATTTGCTCAACTTTATTTTTGAAAAACTTCTTTCTGCAGAGGCAATAGTAACTTGTATGGTTAACAAAATTCTATAAGCAACTCATGCATTCAGGAACAACTATCCATTTGTCTCATATATTTCAACACTTCCATTGCTCGATTTATTTCCTTTGGTAAAGTTTCTCTGAAGATTCTTAGCTCTAGAAACAAGTTTTTCCCATCAATATCAGAGTGATCACCATGTAAAGACTGAGAGAGAAGGGCGATAGTTTTTGTGAAAACGCAGAGAGAAAGCAAGTGGGTCTGTATTGAGAAAAATAACTTATATTTTTTATTTTTAAATTTTAATTAGATTTAAAAGAATAAAACTATAGTTACATGTGGGTGAGAGAAAAGAAAAAAAACAATAAAATTATTTTTGAGGAAATTATATTATTGCTTATGATTTATTTTTTGATATTTTTATTGAACTTAAATTGTAAAAATTACACACACATATATATATATATATATATATATATATATATATATATATTTGAAAAATTGAGGGCCTCTCCCAAGTTGCGGTCGTAGGCGGGGCGATTACTTAAAAAAATTTGTGGGCCTCTCCGGAGTTGCGGTCCTGGGCGGGCGCTCACTGTTGCTTAACTGCTCAACTGTTTAAATATTTCGAAAAGTCCATTCTCCTGTTGTTTTTTATTTATTGTAATGCTTTTTATTTTTCACACACTTCTTTTAATATTTGATCATTAATCAATGGCAAAAAATTAACAAGATGTTATAATTTATTCAAGAAATATGTACATTTAAAGCCAGAAGGTCCCATTTGGGGTCATAGGCTTCACCAAAACAAAACCCAAAAAAAACAAAAAAAATTGAACATAAATGCTTTCCAAACAAAAAAGTTCAAAAGCAGCCCAAAATAATGCAAGGGTAAGTTCGTCATAAAAATAATGTTTTTTTAATAATTAATTAATTTTTATTTTATTTTATAATTAGTACCTCACAATGGGCTAGTAATAATGAGGTTCAATCAGTTGTTTATTAAATATTATTTTCTCTATTTTAAAACACGTTGAAAACATCTTAAGAGGCCCGTAACATTGGTGATAAAAAAGGTCTTTGCACGTCCTCATGCGGGTACAGAAAGACTAGTCTATATATAAAGCCGGAAAGTCCCATTTGGGGTCATGGGCTTCACAAAAAGTATAAAAGCAACTCAAAATAATGCATCAAATAACGCAGAGATAATTTAGTCATAAAAACATTGTTTTTTAATAATAATAATTATTATTATTATTTATAATTAGTACCTCACAATGAGTTAGCAATAATATGATTCAATAAGTTATTTATTAAAAATTATTTTATTTATTTTTATACATGTTCAAAACATCCTAAGAGACGCGTAGTGCCGGTGATAAAAAAGGTCTTTCTTACGCATACAATAATGTGATTCAATAAGTTATTTATTAAATATTATTTTTTTTCCTTTTAAACACGTTCAAAACATCTTAAAAAATAAGTAGCGTTGGTGATAAAAAATATCTTCGTATAAAGAAAGAAAACTCGATCTTCAGTGGGTCTTCTTTTAAACTGCCGGGAAGCATCCGTTGTCGGCATTTTGTAAGCCATTGATGTGTTATATGGACCTGGCTTCACTGCCCTCCCAATTCTCATACACTCTCATCCCTTCCTATTTGTGCGATCACGGTTAAGTCATGTTAACATTTTATATCACTATTGCATTTTGTCTTATTATCTCAATAAAAAAAATCAATATAAAATATTGACGTGGCTTAACCGTGACCGCACAAAATAAGAGGGGATGAGAGTGTATAAAAACTGGGAGGGCAGAAAAGCGGGGACCGTGTTATATTCACATGGTAAGGTTTACGTATGTGGCACGAAAAGTTGATAGGTCCTTGATGGGCCAGACGTTGTGAAGATTTTCCAAATTACAAAAAGTTGATAGGACCTTGGATGGGCCAGACGTTGGGAAGATTTTCCAAATTATGTCGAGTTCTGTATGGGTGCGTTTGGTACGTGGGACGGGACGGGACGGAACGGGACGAGGCGTTCCGTCCCGCGTTTGGTGCGCCAAAAATGGGTGGAACGGGCTGTTCCACGGGACAGATTTTGGGTGTTTTTGCGTCCCACCTGCCCCCCTGGAACGGGTTTGTTCCACGTCTGTGGAACACAATGTTTTACCATTTTAAGACAAATATACCCCATGTCTTTTTCAAAAATTACACCTTCGTTCCGTCCCGTCCCGTCCCGTTCCGTCCCATCCCGTCCCGTCCCGTTCCGTCCCGTCTGCGTACCAAACGCATCCTATAGGATTCCAATATACAAGAAGGATTCTCTACCCTCATAATCTTTTTACTAGATTAATGAGTCCTAAGTTCTTAATCTCTTTACCCTTTCATCCATTCCTATTTGAACGGTCACGGTTAAATCACGTCAACATCTTATATTAATTTTTTGGGTAAAATACAAAAAACTATGGTGTCATGACACTTTCATACCTCATCTTTTAAAATTGACAATGTCATACCGCATCTTACGAATTTGTGATAATGTCATACCTCCATCAGTTTTTCTGTTAATTTATCTGTTAAATGCTGACGTGGCCCGACACATGTCCCACTCACTAATCCAATTGGATTAAAAAATAATAAAATATATTTTTAATAATAAAAAAAAAAATTAAATCTCTCTCACTCTCTCCCCCCTTTTCTTGCCACTCTCTTTTCTCTGCAACCCAAAACCCCTTCCCACCCGTCCTCCACCACCCTCTCTCTCCTCTCTCTCTCTCTCTCTCCCCCTTTTCTCGCCTCTCTCACTTATCTGCATCCCAGAAGACCCAAAACCCGGAGGAACAAAACCCACCTTCCCATTGTAGCAATTGTTGTCGCAATTCGAAAACCCCAAAAACGAAGAACCCAATATTGCTCGACTACTCCGCCTCCCTCATCCCGCCACCCTCGATCTGGAGATCGCAACGATGCTGTTCCACGGCATCATCTTCCTCGACTACTCCACCTCCCTCACTTTGCCAACCCAGTTCGTCCCCCCCCCCAACCCAATGCGCACTCATCTTTCCTCCCCCATCTTTATCTTCTTCCCCTTTTCCCTCTACCTGCAACCCAAA